GAATATATATATATATAAGAAAAATATGGGATAAGGGATATACATATATGGGAATATAGGATAAGGGATATACATATAAGGGAAATATCATACAAAAATAATAAAAGACCCTAAGAAGTAGAAAATATGCATGAAAATGTAGTGATTGTCACACAAATATGATCTAACGTGTGGATAGTCCCTAAGAGTCTAGCGTTGGTCTAGCCCATGTCTATGAGTTTCTACTAGCGTTGGACTAGCGAGAAAACGGAGAAAAGGGCCACAATTAGCGTTGGACTAATGTGGTGACATCGTACATTCATTATAATCAAATAAATCATATAAGACAAAATAAAAGCAAGTAAACACATAATATCACATAAAACACATAGCACATAAGCATGATATCTAGATGCGAGACTTAAAAAAGCGAGTAACATGTAAGTACATAAGCATGCAAAACACATAAAGCAAATAAAACAAATAAAAACATAACTATTACATTTAGGGTCCTAATTACAATCTAAAGGGGGAAGAAATAAAATAAATAACTAACTATTACATATTCTATCTAGATACATATCTTGAACCCCCTAACTATTATAATTTGACATTTAAATGCCTCTTAAATAATCAAAAATTAAATTAAATTAAACATACAAAACTGAAAACACATAAAGTGAATAAATAAATACAAAACTAAAAACACACCAAATACTTACCTGTAGTTATTTTACAGTGAACTAAAACAAGCAAACATACAAAGGTCAGTGGGATAAAAAAACCAAGCCTATCGAGGTTGGTTGGATAAAACCCAAGCCTAACAAGATAAAAACAGTCAGTATGATACAACTGAAGCCTGCCGAGATTGGTGGGATAAAACCCAAACCCAACAAGATAAAAATGGTCAGTAGAATACAACTCAAACCTGCTGAGGTTGGTAGGATAAAATCTAAACCCAACAAGATAAAAAAAAGGTCAGTGGGATACAACCCAAACCTGTCGAGATTGGTGAGATAAAATCCAAACCCAACAAAATAAAATGATCAGTGGGATACAACCAAACCTGCCGAGGTTGATGGGATAAAACTCAGACCCAACATGATAAAACGGTTAGTAGGATACAACCCAAGCCTGCCTAGGTTGGTGGGATAAAATCCAAACCCAACACGATAAAACCGTCAGTAGGATATAACCCAAACCTGTTGAGATTGGTGGGATATAACCCAAACCCAGTAAGATAAAAACGATCAGTGGGATACAACCTAAGCCTGTCGAGATTGGTAGGATAAAATTCAAACCCAACACGATAAAATGGTCAAGCAAAGTAAATTGACATAATTAGTATAGACACCAAAATTTTAATTTGGTTTAGTTAAATTTTTGCTTCATTTTTTATTTATTTATTTATTCTTGTTTTATTTTATTTTACTTTACTTTATTTTAGTTGATCAAATTGGTAGTAGAAAATTAGATTCATCATTCTTTTTAAAACATTATTATTATTGTTATTGTTATTAAATTTCTAAAAAAAAAAGAAGAAGAAGAAAATTCTCAATAAAAATTCATTTTTATCTTTTTCAAACTCAATTTTTTTAAAATAAAATGACATTTTGTAAGGTAATTACAGATTAGCATTTTATTTATCAAAAATTGGTTTCGAAAAAAATACAAAATAAAAAATATATGGCACACATGCAACAGGGCCAAGTGGAGGCCATGCAAACTAGGTAGGTGGGGGGAGACAATGGACAAGTGTTTCTTTATTTCTTTGACAGCACATCATCTAAAGGATAGGTGGCTAGGACACTTGGAAGCCTAGGAAAAATTTGAAAAAAAAAAACAAACAAAAGGGAAAAGAAAAAACAAGGGAAGCTACGGGAAGGGGGAAAAGAAACCAAGCAAGAAAAAAGAAATAGCGACGGGCTAAAATAAAGAGGAAAAAAGAAAGGAAAAGGAAGCTACGGGGCTGAGGAACAAAAAAGGAGCAGCTACGGGAACAAGGGGAGAAAAAATCAAGAGAGAGTTTTCAGAAACAAGGGAAGGTTTCGACTGGGAAAACAAAGAAGGAAAAGTGGGAGAGGAAAGAATGAGAGAAACTGGGAAAAACAAAAAAAAAAGCATGGGAAAGGGAAGAAGGAAGCTCGGGCAATAGGGGGAAGAAATGAGGAAAACTAGAAAGGAAGCTTCGGAGGAAAAAACCAGGAGCTTGGGGAAATTTAGGAAGGAAAAAGAAAACAACAGAAAGAGAGCAAAGAAAGGGAGAGTTACGGGCAAGAGAAAAAAAACAGCAAAGAAAAGAGAAAGAAAGAAATAGAAGGGTTTCGGGCAGGGGTAAAGAGAGAAAAGAAAGAAGAGTAAGGGAGGAGGAAGAGACAGTGGAGAGTAGGAGAAACAAATGAAAAATCCAAGGAGAGGCTTCAAGTTGACAGGGAAGAAATAAGAAACAAAAGAAAGGCAAGGAAAAAAAACAAAAAAAGAGGGTTTTCTGGGATAGGGGAGGAAGAGAGGAACGGGAGAAAGAATAGGAGGATGAGAGCACTACAGGAAAGTAGGCTTTTGTGACGTTTTCGCTGCGGCACAAGGAGAAAATGCAGCTAATAAACTGTACATTTCAAATTTTGTGGCAAAGTTGACAAAGGCGCATAATTTTTGTGGTAAAATGACGTAGTTTTAATGAATCTAGAAAAAGGTATTAAAAAAAAAGGGGAAACCGGCTTTCACTTCCAATGTCTCCATTCTCTGCTAATTTCAAATCTCCCACACTTCTTTCTTCCAAATTCTAAATTCTGATTCCGAATTCCCAATGAACTTATCTCGCTTTCTCTCTCTCTCTTTCTCTCTCTCTCAAATGGTCAAACCTAATTCCACCTCCTCCATTTTCCTCCGAATACGGCCAATGAATATGCGGCAACCACCTTCATCTTTGAGATACAAAGGAATTCCAGAAGAATAGACAGATTGATTGCTAATTGGTTTTGACGCCTGAAGCTTGGGTTTTAACACGAGGAAAATAGACCTCCTCCATTTTTATTCTCAGCAGTTGAAATCGATTCCCAATTGCAGTGCTTCTCCATGTAATTTTGATCATCGGTGAACTAATTGTAGCTTTGAGAGAACTTACCTAACAATTTTGCTAGCTATTCTGGTTCAAAAGCAAGGTAACTAAGCTCAATTCCTTTGCAATTTTTTTTCACTTTATTCATTTATTTTATGGTAAAATCAGAGAATTTATTACATGCCCTTAGTGCTCGGGAGTTTATAGACTTTTGTGGTTATTTTTATGTATTTTTTGTAATTCTTTAGAATATTTAATGTGACTTAAGGGGAGATAATAGGAGTTTACTCTCGTTTTAAAGAGTCCAGCCCATATTGCAGATGGAAATGAAATCGCCTGAGAAACTCAATACAGTCGTTGTCTTGAAACAACCAGATAGCAGCCGTTGGCAGAAGGTACATTTGAAGCTTAAGTGCACTCCATCCTCTGGTTTATATATTTGTCTGATTATCATGCTACTGATATTAGGTGTTATTTGTAATTCTGTCATAAATGCTTGTAAACAAATCTCCCTGTTCTTGGAGACTGGGATCACACAAATAGTTTAGGAGAAATCCCAACTTTGGAGCATAATCATTTCAAGAAAGTGGAAAATGGCAATCAAGTATTGCAGTTTTAGACCAAGTAATTCCTGATTTAATCCTTAAAAATGGTTACAAGGCATTCAAACTACTTAAAAATGCACTTGCTTATGGTAGCAAGAATTTTTGCTTCACACTATGACATGGTATGATAATATTGTAACACAAAATTGTTAAGCATGATTGCCTCTACGGGTATAATAGTAGGCCCGCCTTCTCTCATTATTAGCTTGGTGTTTGTGTTATTTACATAACTTCTATCAGGACCGACACTAATTATAACCATTCTATCTTGCAGTCACCCATGAGAGATTGTTGTAGAGTTTTGCCATCTAAAAGGAGCACAAATATATATATATATATATATCTGGGTAGGCAAATGCAGAACGGATGAGGTGTAGTAGAAGCAGCAGGCAAGAAATTCAGCTAGGCATCTATTCTCTTTTCGTTTTCCTTTAATTTCAGTGGACATTGTTGCTGGAATTCGATTGCGATTGAGTGGTGAGAATTGATAGAGTTGAAAGTATTGGATTTAGGCTGGAAATCAGAATTAAGGTGCTTTCTAAAAGAACCGTAGGATCCTCAAATTGGGATTATTGGTTGCATACTTTCTCATTTCTTAAATTTTTGGAATACACTGGATATATAACTGCATTATAAATATTCAGTTATTCAATGATGGGCCAACTAGGTACCATCAGCAATATAGTCATAAAACAGAACATGTATGTATAAGCTATCAAATCTATGCTAATATATGAAACTTAGTTTTGGATGTTAACGTTGTTACTAAACAAATCACTGACTGGAGAATTGAAAAGAATGCTGCCAATGTTAAAGTGAGCTACACAATTTCTACAATAAGCCTTGGAGTTCAATAGCTTTATGGAATTCAGTAATCATGCAGTTTTTAGTCATGTGTAAAATTATGATATATGGATTCAAGTCATGCAAAATAGAGGATGGAAAATGCTTTTAATGGTATTGTTAATTATTCTTTTATCGTTCTTTTTTTTTCTGAATATGTTTGTGTGAAATGTAAATTCTTTTATCTTTCTCAGGTCCAATGACAAGTTAAATTACTAACTTTCTTGGCCACTGAATGGACTTTCATGGCAGGTTAGGTATCAACTCATCCATGTATTGGCTCATCTGTAGTTAAGTGGCCCACTGAATGGTAGCTAACTATTTGGTTAAGGATGGTTGAATACGAAATAGTAGCTAATTTAATTTTTGCCAATTGAGTGCAATTCTGTGTTCACTGAGTCATTGACAAATTTCGCCATTTCCTCCTTGGCTTCAACATACCATTTAGTAATTGGTGTTCTTGGTATTTAGTAAAATTCAGTTTCATTTTAAAAGAAAATTCCTTATTTACCAAATATTACTACCTGTAGCAACTTTGGTTAATTCTTTTTGTAAGAGTTACCAGTTTCTTATATGTGTGTGTTAATTCTGCCCAGATTAATACATGCAATGGCTTCTAGTTGGCTATTTCCCAAATAAGCTTATAAACCCAAGCTGCGGACTGAAGACTGGACTGGCTGGTTGGTTACCCCATCTCCAACGATGCAGTTATTACTAGTTAGACCCATATTATTGCTCGTTGGCATTAATTTCATGTCATTCCCTATATTATTGATGCCCATGATACCACCACCAAGCTGATTTGACATCATCATTTCATGTATGATTTTTTGAACAGAACTCTGGGAATCATTTGCATCTGTGTCACTGGAAAATGTTGGCTGTTGCATTGCAATGTTCGGTGAACTAGCAGAATTCATGTGCGTTCCGGTCGGTAAGCCACCAAGTGAAGTCTGTGGAGGATTGTTAGATGATGATGCTTTTGGAGACTGGAAAGGAGAAGGATTGAGTTGCGGTTGTAGTAAGGTACTCAAGGAACACTTGGAGATGGCATCTGAACACCATTTCCTCCATAAGGACAGTTTGCACTACTCTTCGGGTTTTTGCTGTCTCAAGTTCATTGAGTTTTGATGACGCAGCCCACATATATATGGCACTAGTAAAGGAAGTTGCATGAGCCGAATTCAGTGGATTGTTTACATTTGCCATGCCATTTCTGGAAGGAAGTTGCAATTATTATGAAAATTGTTTCAATGTGGCCTAACCATATTGAAACGTGATGACTTTTGCGAATTAGGAACTACTTGTACCTTTTAGAATTAGGTTATAATGATGAATTTGGAAATTTGCAATGATTGTTTCCATTTAGATAGTGAATTGAATTAACACTTGAAAGGGGAATGTACTACAAGCATGGAAAATAATTCATAAAAAGATGCAAAAAGTGTAAATCACTTCAGTGCATCTGTTTATTGAAGGAGACTATTTGTGATGCAATTTTTGTGTCGCATGATTTGCCGCGCAATTTTACTTGTCTAGTACTACTTGGAGCTTGATGGATGGTTTCAGATCCGTGAGGTGAGTGACCTCAAACTCTTTCTAAAATTATTTATGAACCGTTTCTTGCATTATTTTGCCTTTTGAACTGTTTCCAAATTTACTCTTGAACCGCTTTCCCGCATTATTTACTTTTGAGCTGTTTTCAAAGTTAATTTTGGAACTGTTTTCTTACATATCATGCGTGCTTGCATATCAGTGTTTTGTTATTATTGATTTTGCTTTCAATGATTGCTAAACGAGTTTTTCGAGGTGAGTGTGTACTTTATCGCACTTAGCCTAAGTGATTGTGAAATTTTAATGATTGAGCGATTGAAATGTTAATTGTGCATGAATGTAAGCCTTTGGGCTGAACTGGCCATTGCCCCTTGTTACCGTGTCGTCTCGAGCCAGAAGCGGACTCGGTCGGGCGACTAGGAACTTGGGTGAACGTTTCGGTATACTCGAGTATTACTTGTAGGTTGGTGGAGCCTGGCCAAAAGCCAGGGACGGGGTGAATGAATGAACGAATGAAACCAAATGAAATGAAATGACAGGAGAACGAACGTATCCTTTTCATGAATGTTACTATCGCTTTCCATTGTAAATGTTTCTTGAATTATTGATACTCCATATTGAAATGACATTATTGAAATGAACGATTGTGAAACTGATTTGATAACTGATTTTACTGGTTACTCGCTGAGCTTCTAGCTCACCCCAAAATGTTTTATTCCCCTCCACAGGGCTCAAGGCGAAGGAGTGGCTTGTAGTGTTTATCATGGATTATATCATGTATGGATTGAACTTGGATTTCCTTTTGTGTAATCGTTCATATTGGGATTGTATTGAACGTTTAACATTGATTGGATGTGTAATAGTCTAGTTTTGGACTTCCTCCTGTATAATAGTTGGTATCAAGGTTCAGAGTGGCGCAGTGGAAGCGTGGACGCTTCGCTTATGATATATAAAGTTTGGGAACCTTTGATGTATATTGGAGATTTATATTGTAATATTTGAGGTTTATTCTTGTAATTCAATTGGGACTTTAGTGAAACGACTGAGTCCCGGCGAGAGCCGGGCAGGCGGCCCGCCGAACCTCTGGTTCGCCTTAGGGGGAGGTGGGGTCGTGAAAAGTGGTATCAGAGCTTAGGCTTCATATCTCTGTAGTGCGTCCTAGGCTTAAAGTTTAGGATGCCGGACTGTGGGTACGTAAGAATGAGAAATCGGACAAGTGGCATTAGAGTAACCTTAGTGATTGTTTGGAATGTTTAAGTGATTCTTGCGGAATGTCTTGAATTGATTAGTACAAGATGGAATGTCGAGGACGACATTCTTTTAAGGAGGGGAGATTGTGACGCCCCGTATGACGGAGGGTTTTTATTTGATATATATCGTTGTTGTTCGAGCGGAGTGGCACAGCTTTTCAACTTGGAAAAGAAAAGAAAAGTTTTGAAATAAGACAGGGGCCAAATCCGGCCGGAAATCCGGCCAGTTTCTGGCCGGATTGCCTTGCAGTTTTGAAAAAAAATTGAATTGGCCACTGCCTTGAATCCGGCCAAGAATCCGGCCGATTCTGACGTGGCAGAGTCGGTCATGAGCTTTGACCGGCTGTTTCCTCCCTTTTTATTCCACTTTTGCACCCAAAATATCTCATTTCTTCCCTGGTTCTTCCGTGAGCTTTGAGAGAAAAGAAAAACTCCATTTCTTCCCTTTGATTTCCTTCTTTGAATCTTGAGTTTTAATCGGTGGTTTTGGCAAATATTTCACACAAGTGCTCACTATGGTGGTTTAAAGCTTTGGATGGATTGGTTTTTGAAGGGAAGCTCTAAGTTGGTAGCTCTCTTGAATTTGAGGTGAGTTGAATATACAATTCCATTTTGTTCTAGTATTGGTTAATTAATGGTTTGTGGTGGCCATGTGTGTTATTTTGTGAGTATTTCATGGGTTGAAGGAATTGATGGTGAAGTTTTCAATTTATTGAGGAATTTTCTGGTTTAATATGAATGTGATGTTGTGGATATCTTTGATGATGGGAATTGATGGTTAATGACTCTAGTAGGTATAAATGATTGCAATTCCAACCAATTTTGGATTTGGAAGGAAATGTGAAAAGTTAGGGTTTTAAATCCCCAATTCTGGCCGGTTTTGTATCATATGGTTAGAGGCCGAATTGGCCTTTGATTAAAACATGAAAGTAATAGGTATTGATGTTTTTGAGGTTCCTGTAAAATTTCAGGGCAATTGGAGTAGTGTAGAATGAGATATGTCCATTTTACTGTTGCTGTTCTGGGTTGATCAGAATGTGCGAAGTGCGCTTGTAATCGTCTGTTTTGACGGGAATTCTTTGGATTTGGATGTTGGTGTCTTCTGATGAAATGTAGCTTGATGCCTTAGCTACCGCATGCCTTTGTAATGAATGAATTTGGACCTGTATAGACTGAGTTGTACTGATTACAGCATAGTGTGATTTGTAAACCTGCAATTACGGTTCTGGTTTGGTATTCTGCATATTTGACCTAGTTGTGCTAGGATTTGGACTAAGTGGCCTTCTACATTGTTGTAGCCCTGGTTCTTAGCTTCGAAACGGTGTGTCTTGGACCTCCATCCGATACTCGTAGTACCTTTGGTGCCATTACCGCAAAAGGACGTCAAAACTGTTTTTTCTGGCTTTGAGCCGAACTTTTCCCTAGCTTGACTTGTCTAGTACTACTTGGAGCTTGATGGATGGTTTCAGAGCCGTGGAGGTGAGTGACCTCAAACTCTTTCTAAAATTATTTATGAACCGTTTCTTGCATTATTGCTTTTTGAACTGTTCCAAATTTACTCTTGAACCGCTTTCCCGCATTATTTACTTTTGAGCTGTTTTCAAAGTTAATTTTGGAACTGTTTTCTTACATATCATGCGTGCTTGCATATCAGTGTTTTGTTATTATTGATTTTGCTTTCAATGATTGTTAAACGAGTTTTCGAGGCGAGTGTGTACTTTATCGCACTTAGCCTAAGTGATTGTGAAATTTTAATGATTGAGCGATTGAAATGTTAATTGTGCATGAATGTAAGCCTTTTGGGCTGAACTGGCCATTGCCCCTTGTTACCGGTCGTCTCGAGCCAGAAGCGGACTCGGTCGGGCGACTAGGAACTTGGGTGAACGTTTCGGTATACTCGAATATTACCTTGTAGGTTGGTGCCTGCCAGGGACGGGGTGAATGAATGCACGAATGAAACCAAATGAAATGAAATGACAGGAGAACGAACGTATCCTTTTCATGAATGTTACTATCGCTTTCCATTGTAAATGTTTCTTGAATTATTGATACTCCATATTGAAATGACATTATTGAAATGAACGATTGTGAAACTGATTTGATAACTGATTTTACTGGTTACTCGCTGAGCTTCTAGCTCACCCCAAAATGTTTTATTCCCCTCCACAGGGCTCAAGGCGAAGGAGTGGCTTGTAGTGTTTATCATGGTATCATATGGATTGAACTTGGATTTCCTTTTGTGTAATCGTTCATATTGGGATTGTATTGAACGTTTAGCATTGATTGGATGTGTAATAGTCTAGTTTTGGACTTCCTCCTGTATAATAGTTGGTATCAAGGTTCAGAGTGGCGCAGTGGAAGCGTGGACGCTTCGCTTATGATATGTAAAGTTTGGGAACCTGTATTGATTTATATTGTAATATTTGAGGTTTATTCTTGTAATTCAATTGAGGACTTTAGTGAACGACTGAGTCCCGGCGAGAGCCGGGCAGGCGGCCCGCCGAACCCTCTGGTTCGCCTCAGGGGGAGGTGGGGTCGTGACAAGTGGTATCAGAGCTTAGGCTTCAGATCTCTGTAGTGCGTCCTAGGCTTAAAGTGTAGGATGCCGGACTGTGGGTACGTAAGAATGAGAAATCGGACAAGTGGCATTAGAGTAACCTTAGTGATTGTTTAAGTGATTCTTGCGGAATGTCTTGAATTGATTAGTACAAGATGGAATGTCGAGGACGACATTCTTTTAAGGAGGGGAGATTGTGACGCCCCGTATGACGGAGGGTTTTTATTTGATATATATCGTTGTTGTTCGAGCGGAGTGGCACAGCTTTTCAACTTGGAAAAGAAAAGAAAAGTTTTGAAATAAGACAGGGGCCAAATCCGGCCGGAAATCCGGCCAGTTTCTGGCCGGATTGCCTTGCAGTTTTGAAAAAAAATTGAATTGGCCACTGCCTTGAATCCGGCCAAGAATCCGGCCGGAAATCCGGCCGGATTCTGACGGCAGAGTCAGTCATGAGCTTTGACCGGCTGTTTCCTCCCTTTTTATTCCACTTTTGCACCCAAAATATCTCATTTCTTCCCTGGTTCTTCCGTGAGCTTTGAGAGAAAAGAAAAACTCCATTTCTTCCCTTTGATTTCCTTCTTTGAATCTTGAGTTTTAATCGGTGGTTTTGGCAAATATTTCACAAGAAAAAAAACGACTAAAGCATATTTTTTGAATGTTTTTCCTTTTTCTTTTTCCTTTTTTTCAAGAAATTCTATGCTAAAACTTAAAAATAAAAAATAAAACTAGAAACTAAAAACTAAAAAACGAACACGACAAATAAAAAACAACAAATGAAATTACACCAAAAATTTGGTGTCTACAACCTGAAAGTAGTATTCCTATGGGGAATCATCGTTTGAGCATTGGTATGGTTTGTAAGGATCGCAGAGTTTGGGTAGGAGAGAAAATAG